TGCCACAGTCCCGCCCGCCAGCCACAGGTCGGGTCGCACATGGGACGCCTGCCGCCCCGGGTCGCAGATAGCAGGCCCAGATGGTGGTGGGGCAGACGGGATGGCGCTGTCCTGCTGTGCCTGCAGTATGCAAATTAGCTGCCATCTTTGTTGGTGGTTAATTTACATCTCACGCTGATTAGCAAATGGGAGGCGTAGTGAAGGTACAGTCAATTACCATGTTTGTCTATTATTAGATTAGATAACTATATCTCAAACGAGGAAATAATGCCCAAAGAACTAACAAGTACTACATGCTCTATGTGGAAAATATGGAAAGGACAGGAGAGATAAAAGAGGAAAGAAATCATGGGAGATCCAGTATTTTAACTTGGTTTCCCCAAAAGACTTGGAAACAAGGATTTGAGGGCAGATAGTTTACATGAAATCAATTCTAAAAGACACCGGTGGAGGGTGGGGAATTGAGGAGGTGGGAAGGGAAGGAGCTAATGATGGTGTTACCAAGTAAGTCACCACTGAGGATCACCGGAACTTAAACCTGCTAAACTCAGCCAGGCAATGTAGAATCTACATCTCAGAGTCATTCGGCCCAAGTGCCAAAAAGCTGGGTATTTACGTACCTACTTATGTCAGTCATTAGTTGTGTGTGGTGTGAGAAGGCAGGCGTTCATTTTCCTGCACTTCTGACCTGCTCACTGTGTTGGTACTGTTCTGGGCCCAAGAAAGCCCTCAGGCAAAAAGATACAAATGCTAGCATTTGAAACTCTGGCCAGAATATTTTACAATTATAAACCTAATGGGGCAGGGACAGGACATTCAGAGCCTGGGCTTCAGCCAGCGACAGCCTGTTAGCATTTTGGTGTATTTCTGTCCAACCTTGCATATGTGTAATTATGTATATATTTGTGTTAATTTATTTGAGTTGGGGTTATGTTATATATTTAGTAGTGTGTCCTCTTTTCATTTAACATTATCTCATCTGGATTTAGCCTTGATCTTAAATGTTATTTGAAAACATGTTTTTAAGGGCTCTATATTATTCCATTGCAGGGATATCCAATAATTTATTTAGCCATGGGAATACAGATTCTCTGAAGCTCTAAGGTGTTTCTGTTTAGTGGAAATTAGCCATCAGCTAGCAGGAAATGAAATCTGGCAGAAATGGCAAAGGCAGGAAGGAGTCTGTGGCTTGGGTCAGGGAGGAGGGTTAGAAGGAGTCTGCGATGCTGTGACTTATAAGGTATTTGGTCTTTATCCACAATTCCTGGCTCACAGCTCCCAAAACCTATGGAATTTCCTAAGTGTTGAAAATAATAAAGGTGTCTTTTGGACTCCACCCAAGGGCAGGGTCTGGTTGTCAAGAAAACCAACCACATGATTAGAGGTTTGGTTTCAGTCCTCCCCATGCCCCTTTTTCCTGACCTCTTGGAGAAGGGCTGGAGGTTGAGTTCAGTTGTCAATGGGCAATAACTTAGTCAATCATGACTACATAATGAAGCCTCTGTAAAAACCCAAAAGGACAGTAGTTGATCTTTTTATTTTTATTTTTTGGAGAGCTTCCACATTGGGGAACAAGAATGCTTCCATGTGCTACCAGGCCTCAAGCTCCACAAAGCTCTTTTGTTCATGACATCACCCAATGTATCTCTGCATCTGGCTGTTGATTTGAATCCTTTAATATCCTTTTTAATAAATCATCTAGTGAGTAAACTATAGTACTGAGTCCCAACTATGTGGTTGCACTGAGGCATGCCATGTATGTGGGGAATACTTGACATATAGTTGATACTCTTTCCCATGCTTAGGCACAGAAAGCCTGGTTAAGACAAGTAGAGACAGAAGAACACTTCTCCTATAACATGCTGCCTCCAAAGTCCCTTTCTGAAGCTCAGCTCCTCTATGGTCTTCTCTCCCCAGTATTGGTGCTCTTGTGGGCCTGTCCATAGCAGCGGTGGTCCTCCTGGCCTTCGTTGTCACCGCCTGTGTGCTCTGTTACCTGTTCATCAGCTCAAAGCCTCACACAAAGTTGGACCCAGGTTTAAGTTTACAGACTACAGGTAAGAAAGAGGTCACATGCTTTCCTTGTATTCAGCAGGCAAGAATTTTTACAAAGGGGACATATTTAGAAATGATATTTTGAACACTTGCCTCATGAGTGTTCCTGGAATATTCAGAAGGAACAGCACAATTCTAAAGAGGTTTATGATCTGAAGCTGTCCATTCTAAACCTTTCATGTGCTCTGTGTTTATCAAAAATAATTTGATGTAGTCAGCATTCTGTTTGTTAGACAAAGATGAATCTATCTTGTGGATTTTCTAAGACAATGTTTTAATTCTAGCCTTAGAAAATGCAAACTCGCCAAAACCGGTTTGGCTCAGTGGATAGAGCGTCGGCCTGCGGACTGAGGGGTCCCGGGTTCGATTCCGGTCAAGGGCATGTACCTTGGTTGCGGGCACATCCCCAGTGGGAGATGTGCAGGAGGCGGCTGATCGATGTTTCTCTCTCATCGATGTTTCTGACTCTCTATCTCTCTCCCTTCCTCTCTGTAAAAAATCAATAAAATATATTTAAAAAAAAAAAAGAAAAAAAAAGAAAATGCAAACTGGTTTTAATATTACCCCAAACAAAATACAATTAATAAGAAAAATTTGCTGCTCCCCAAACTCAATTTATTCAGAAATTAAATACAGGTATTTTTGGATAATCTGATGTTCTTGGCCTACCAATTTCTTTATTGGTACAGGTGACCAAGAGCTTCCCTACAGGGTCACCTTCAAAGTGTTGCTTTTGCACATATTTTACAACCTTTTCAAGGCACTGTGAAGAAACAAGTAGCTATTGGCAAAAGATCCTTCAGTACAGTTTGGTAGACAACACTCAAAATGGGTAGTATTATTTCCATTTTACAAATGAGAAAATCAAGGCTGAGAGAGATTAGGTGACTTGCACAAAGTATCACAGTTAATACATGATAAGACTGAAATCTGGCCCATGTTTTCCTGCCTTGAGTCATGCTCTTTCTTCAGCCCACCACTCCAGGTCTGGCTAGATATACAATTAAGCACAAAATTGTTTAATACCAAATGTAAGGAGTGTTTCAAAAAGGAAAGGAGACTTGAATTGGTGCTGAATTAGTGAAGGAGTTGGTTAGGCAAAATAGATGAGAAAAGGCATTTCAGGATAGGATAAATAATGGGTAAAGGTGTGTGGGCAGGACTGAGTGAGACTATGCAGTAACAGGGTCATTCACCCTGGGGCGCTGTATAGGAGTAAGGCCAGGCTGGACAGGGGAGGAATTTAAGTTCAGAAGCAAAGATGGCACACTCAGTCAGGGAGGGAGAAGGGGCAGGGTGGGTAACAGCTAAGTTTCAGAGAAAAGTAGAGAGAGCCTTTTCATTTGCACAAGATTATTTTTCCAATTTCACAACAAACTCGTGCAAAAAAACGACAGCACATGAACACATCTCAGATCCTGATGCTTACAAGAATCCCACTGTGGCCGAGCAGTAAAATGTAGAAGGGCTGGCTTTTGAGGGTGGGAGAATTCATCTGGCTCTCCTTGGAGCCAGGAAGACCTAGGAGGAGAATAGGAAGTGGCAGAAGAATAGACCCAGCCTCAGGGAGACCAAGGATAGCCCAAGCTTCAGCTTTTTTTTTTTTTTTTATAACTTTTATTTATTGATTTTTAGAGAGAGAGAAAGAGAGAGCGAGATTTGTTGTTCCACTTACTATGCATTCATTGGTTGATTCTTTTTTAAAAACATATATTTTTATTGATTTCAGAGAGGAAGAGAGAGGGAGAGAGATGATGGGAGAGAATCATTGATCAGCTGCTCCCTGCACACCCCCTACTAGGGATCAAGCCCGCAACCCAGGCATGTGCCCTTGACCAGAATCGAACCCGGGACCCTTCAGTCTGCAGGCCAACGCTCTATCCACTGAGCCAAATCAGCTGGAGCCATTGGTTGATTCTTATATGTGCCCTGACCTGGAATCAACCCACAATCTTGGTGTATCGGGTTGATAACCAACTGAATTACCCTACCAGGGCCCAGGCTTCAACTTTTATAGAGAAAAATCATAAAAGTTAATGAGAGGCATAAAAGAACCTGACTATCTGGTGAGGTACAGAAAGCATGTGAATAGGAAGACTCAATATCATAGACAAATCAGTTCTTTCCAAATTAATCTATAAATAAAAATCCCAACAAAAGTTTTAATGGAATTTGTCAGATTCATTCTAAAATTAATCTGGAAGAGTAAAGGTGCAAGAGTGAACAAAACAATTTTGAAAACAAAGAAGAGACTTGCCCTATCAGATACTAGGACATTTTTCAAAGATAAGAATTTGTCAATTTGTTATTGGCACAGAAATTGACAGGTAGAATTGGGCAATGCAGTGTCCTCAACTAGTGCAAATTTGCTACCCAAAGATATTTTGCAATGTGTGGAGACATTTTTGGTTGTCACAACAGGCGAGGGCTACTACTGGTATCTTTTGATAGAGGCCAGGGATGCTATTAAACATCCTACAACACAGGATAGCGCTCCACCACAGAGAATTACCCAACCCAAAATGTCAATAGTGCCAATGTTGAGAAACCCTAGAATAGAAAGTCCAGAAACAGACTAATTAAAATATAGGAATTCAAAGAAAATATTTAATTATTATTACTATTTAAAAGTATTTTTTAAAAATATTTTTTATTGATTTCAGAGAGGAAGGGAGAGGGATAGAGAGATAGAAACATCAATGGTGAGAGAGAACCACTGATTGGCTGCCTCCTGCATGCCCCCCACGGGGGATCGAGCCTGCAACCTTGACTGGAATTGAACCCGGGACCCTTCAGTCCCCAGGCCAAAACTGTATCCACTGAGCCAAACCGGCTAAGGTGAAAACATTTAATTTTTAAAAATAAGGGGAATATGGGCAAATTTGCCTACATAAAATGCAAACAGACATCAAATAAAAATAATACATAAGATAGTATAAACTTAAAAAACAAGTGATAGACTGCAAAGATATAAATAGAAGTAAATACGTGCCAGGCAATCATTATTTGCAGATTTAATATTTGTGAAGTTGCCTATTTGCTGAAATTTATATGTAACCTCAAAATCAATACTTGCAGTGTTTTCAAGGTCTTTTCAAGCTTACCTGTAGTCTGTAAGCTTAAATTTCCAAGGTTTGCAAATGTGGACATGCCCAGAGCAGCAAAAAATTTGAGTTGCCCCATCACACACATTCCCAGCTGACGTGGAACAAGGCCATGCTCTAGCTTCTCAGCTCTCATACTGTAAACAAGTGTCCTTTTCATGATATATTGAGTGACATGTTTTTGCATTTTTATGACTTTTAATGGTGGTTTCACTGTTGAAAATGCCCCCCAAACATAGTGCTGAAGTACTGTCTAGCGTTCCTGAGCATGAAAAAAGACTGTCATGTGCCTTGTGGAGAAAATATATGTGTTGAGTAAACTTCGTTCAGGCAGGAGTTATGGTGCTTTTGGCCATCAATTAAATCTTAATAAATTAATAATATATATTAAAGAAGATGTCTTTAAACAGGAACACACAAAACAAAGTTATGTATTGACCAGTTGACAAAATTGTTGTGACCAGAGGCTCACAGGAACCTAGCTTTTATCAATTACATTGGTAAGTACAAAAATGGATCATATTAATACTGAGGAGGCTGGGTGGAGGGAATGGATACTGTCATATAGTGCTGGTAGGAGTATAAATTGGTACCACCACTTTGAAGGGTAATTTGGCAGTATCTATTTATATTGAAAATGAATATATCCTATAACTCAGTAATTCCCCTTCTAATTATCTTAGAAGAAATAGTTATGCTAGAAGAGGATAGTAAAGATGGATGACATGATCGTTAATCATATTGGAAACAAACTAAATGTCTACCAGTAGAGGAATAATGAAATATGAGTCCACAGTTAGAAGGAGTGAACTAAATAGAGCATCTCATTAGTTCTTCACAATAACTGGGCAGAGTATAGATCTTATTACCATCCATTTTACAGATGAGGAAACTGAGGCCCAAGCTACCTAGTGAGTAAGTGACAGAGCCAACTCTACCTCCAGTCTCCTTCCTCTCCTTATTCCTGTGCTGCAAAATGAAAGTCCCTACTATGTGCCAGTCACTGTTTGAAACTGTACATGCTTTATCTCATCCAATTTTCCCAACTCAGGAAGTGAGGTGTTGTTATCATCTATTTTACAGGTGTGAAAACCAGGTCTAAGAAAGGTGAGATGACTTACCGAAGGGGTCACAGTTTGTAAACTGTGGATCTGAAATTCAAATATATGTGTTTTTCTGCCTCCAAATTCCTACTCTTTTTACCTCACCAGGCCAGGTCTATGAAGTGCTCCTGCTTGTGTCCTGATCCCCTCTTTACTCCTCACTCTATATCCTCCCCTACACCGAACCTTTCTGAATCAAAGGGAATACAGTTTATCTCTTGGCCCTGTTGGTGAAAAACACCCTCCTACTTTTTACTGCTCAGCCACCAGCTGGATTATTCAATTGCCAGGGTTTGAGATACATGTTCTTGCTTTTTGTTACTTATTTTTAAGATAGAAAATGCATTTCCTGACCTTTTGCTAAATGATGGCTTTTAAGCTCTCTGTCTTTTTGCCCAACTGCAGCTCTTAGTTCCTCTCTTTCTTCTTCGTTAAGTACTGGCCCCTCCTTCCCAGCAGCTGAATCAGTTTATAGGCCCATTATCTTACATTCGCCAGAGCTTTACCCTTTATGTGGAATTTCATTTCTGTTTGCTGTCTCCCTCTCCAGTAGGACATGTAGACAGATCATTAGCCCATTTTACATCAAGCTCAGCCATGGGAAGTGAATTGGCCAAATCTACACAGTAGTGAGCATGTGTTGCTGGGACGTCAATCCTGATCTCCCAGACTCTAAAGCCTATGATCGTTACACTGTACCTCAGGTCCTGATCGCTGTGGGTAGAGACAGGGATGGGGAGTGCCCTGGCAAGAACAGAGTGGAAATGGACCCGAGTCTGGAAACAGGCTCCTTCT